ATGTAAATATATGTAGCTACCAATAAATACACAAAAAATAATTTTGAATATTCATTTAATTATCACAAGGATCTTATTACTTCAGTGCATAACATCCTAGAAATCAAGTGTCAGTTGCATTTTCTGGAAACAATTTTGCAATACTATGGCTCAAGCATTACTTTGAAAGTGTCAAAGGGGTAACTGAATAAACTTAAACAACGAGCAGTCTTGCAGCATCTTAGGGTATGTCTACACTGCATTCCTCTTTCGAGAGAGGAATGCAAATGCAGCTGAGCGAAATTGCAAATGAAGCGCGGATTTGAATTTCCCACGCTTCATTTGCATAATCGTGTCTGGGCGCTATTTCAAAATACCCTATTTCAAAAAAAGAAGCTCTGTCTAGACACAGTTATTTTGAAAGAAAACCCTTCTTTCGAAATTACCCTTATTCCTTATAAAATGAGGTTTAAGGGTAATTTCAAAAGAAGGCTTTTCTTTCAAAATAACTGCATCTAGACAGCGTTTCTTTTTTCGAAATAGGGTACCGTATATACTCGAGTATAAGCCGAGTTTTTCAGCACATTTTTTGTGCTGAAAAATGCCCCCCTCGGCTTATACTCGAGTCAGCGTCTCGAGAACTGAGGAAAGTGAGTACGCTGGTCAGGTTCTAAGGCATCCAGGTTGTCGTATCTGTCAGGAGGTGTTATTGTTATGGACTGCGCTGTAAATTCATCATCAAAGTATCTCGTGTCAATTTCTGAGGTCTGAAAGCTCTATGTATGTGCGATGAACAGCGCACATACATAGGCTTGTTGGCTGCACAGTGACTGCCAGTGATTGGCTTGTCACTGTGCTGTGGGCAGGGGGCGGGTCCGGAGGCAGAAGCGCGGCTCGGCGCAGGCTGAAGAGAAGAGATAAGGTAAGGGGCCTGAATGGAAAGGATAAAATCCTTATGGAAAGCAGGATCTGCCCAGGGATTGTGGAAATATTTTATCCTCTGTGTCGGGGGAATGGTATATGTGGAGAGGGAGTTGCCATCTGCAAGTTTCCCTCAGCTAAAAACACGAAAACAGCTAGGAAGCCGGGACACCTGAGGAAAAGAGCTATGGGTTGTGGCTGCTTAAAATGTATGTCAAGGCAACATTTAAAAAAAAAGCTAAAATATTATTCATACAGTACATCTATGCCTGTGTTCTTGCTAAATCATACCTGTGTTCTGGCTACAATGCCTGTGTTCTAGCTACAATATCTGTGTAATGGCCACAATACCTGTGTACTGGCTGCATACTGTGTTACTGGCTGCAATATACCCTACTTATGACGCTGAGCTGTATACTCCTTACACAATATGTGGAATACAGGGGATGGAGTGGGTGGATTCTATAAGGAGTGGGGCTTATGAGAAGTAAGAGGGGTCAAAAAGGAGGGACGGGGCCTGGCGCCCCCCCATCCTAAAAATTCTTTTTTTTATCCTGTTAGAAATGGATCCCAATATCGGTACTTCTAATCCTGGACCAAAACAAAAACGCAGGTCATACGAAGCTGGTTTAAAACTTAAGGTTGTGTCAAGAGCAGAAGAAAGCAATAACAGTATTTGTTATTGTTTTTCTTTGAAATAAATATTCATGTAATTTTATTGGTATCTATCTTCATTTTTTACATTTACCAGTAGCTGCCTCATTTCCTACCCTAGGCTTATACTCGAGTCAATATTTTTTCCCAGTTCTTTGTGGTAAAATTAGGTGCCTCGGCTTATATTCGGGTCGGCTTATACTCGAGTATATACGGTATTTCCTGTTGTGCAAATATCATCACCCCAAGGAAATGATCACCCTGACACCTGCTTGAGGCCTGGCTCAGCTGAAGTGGAGTTTGAGATTTTAGACAAGCATTTTGCACTCATCTACATGGGGTACATCTACACTGCACACTTCTTATTGCATCATGAAGAGCACATACTCTGCATACCCTCCTAGAATGTATGTAAATAGGCAGTATAGATGGTTAGGCACTGCTTAGGTGAATAAAGATGCTCCCAGATCCTTAGGGCTGCACATACAGGAAGAGTTTCCCCACCTTGGCATTCTCCTGCAGTTTTAAACCACATATTTGGCTGGAAGAAATTTGGAACGGACGACCAGGAGCAACCTTAAAGAAAAAAACCATCATTGCTAGTTTGGGATATGTTCAGAGCCCACACATCTGATGACATAAAAAAATTGGCAAAGTCTTCTCAAGTTACTTTGGCAGTTATTCCAGGTGGGCTTACATCTGTATTGCAGCCCCTAGATGTGTGTTTAAATAAACCTTTCAAAGACCGTGTGCGAAAGATGTGGCATGAATGGATGTCATCTGGTCAAGCTCGACTGACAAAAAGTTGGAAATCTGAGGAAGCCAGACATAGAATTGATAGCACAGTGGGTTCGTGATGCATGGGAAGAGATTCCAGAGGACCTGGTGCAACGCGCCTTCAAGAAATGTGGCATTATTAATGCTATGGATGGCAGTGAAGACAGCGCTTTGTATGAGAACGACAGCAGTGATGGTGCTGACTGTGAACTCAGTGATGATGACAATGTCTATGCTGATAACCTCAGCGCAGGCTGAAGAGAAGAGATAAGGTAAGGGGCCTGAATGGAAAGGATAAAATCCTTATGGAAAGCAGGATCTGCCCAGGGATTGTGGAAATATTTTATCCTCTGTGTCGGGGGAATGGTATATGTGGAGAGGGAGTTGCCATCTGCAAGTTTCCCTCAGCTAAAAACACGAAAACAGCTAGGAAGCCGGGACACCTGAGGAAAAGAGCTATGGGGAGCTGATTGAGCTTGGTTGCTGATTGAGCTAAGGTTGTTGTACTTTTAAAGTTACGGTATTTTTGATACCATATTGTTTTTGTTGACCCCCTTTTCCACTTACAGAGCTAGGTTATTGTTTTTCTTTGAAATAAATATTCATGTAATTTTATTGGTATCTATCTTCATTTTTTACATTTACCAGTAGCTGCCTCATTTCCTACCCTAGGCTTATACTCGAGTTAATATTTTTTCCCGGTTCTTTGTGGTAAAATTAGGTGCCTCGGCTTATATTCGGGTCGGCTTATACTCGAGTATATACGGCATTTTGAAATAGCGCCCGGACACGATTATGCAAATGAAGCGTGGAAAATTCAAATCCGCGCTTCATTTGAAATTTCGCTCAGCTGCATTTGCATTCCTCTCTCGAAAGAGGAATGCAGTGTAGACATACCCTTAGAGACTAACAAAAATGCATTACTTTTTGAGTTATATTATAAAATAGATATGAAAGTGCTGTAAATCTACTATACCAAAATGTTGCATTGCAACATAGGAGCGGGTTTTTTACAATAATTCCCGATTACTTTATAGGCATATCATTTTACCTTTTCTACTTTCTGAACATGTATGTCCACTTTCATTTACTTAAAACAAGTTTTTGTATTTACTGTTGTCTTGCTTTATTTTGTCTTTCATTTCACCTTTTTGTTTTCAATGGGACTAATCTAAAGGTACGCATGTGACAGTGTTTGTAGCACAGGGTTTAATCACTATAGAATTGTATTTCAATTATAGAACATTTAATGACACTTAAGAACTAATTTTGAAGAAATAGTGAAAGATGTTTGAATCAAACTGAAATAGAAATTAGCACACCATTAAGGTTGTAAGTGTTAGCATCTATTTCAGAGGTACAGCTGCAATTCTTTTGGCCTGTCTTTAAAAAGACAATACATTCAAAAATAACCTTTGCCATGATTCTGCAGCTGACAGGTTGAACAGACCTCTACACACAAGCAGAGTTAACTGTAAAACTGGGCCTATAGACTGTTAAAGCCGAATTAGCAAGTACAATTTATACACCTAACTTACAGCTTGGCCACACTGTTTTTAGACTGATTTAACTATACTCGTTTGGACTGGTCCATTTAAAGCTATATGACCTCTAATGTAGATATATCTGTATCAGTACAAAGGTACTTAAACAAATACAATTTATTCCTGTATATTTAGAAAAATAACCCACACTATACAAATATAATTGGGTCCACACAAGGGTTGAACCAATTTAACTACGTCAGTTAAAAAACACACACCCTAATACAAAAAAATTAGACCAGTACAAAAAAACAAAAAAAAAGAGGATGTTCACCAGGTCTTAGGATACTCAGTCTTTAAATATATAGTACACATACTATGCAAAATGATATTTATTAACTTCTGCATTCTTTCCTTTAAGTTCTAGTTGCAGAATTTGTTGGTCAATTATAGTTTTATTTAACAAAACAATATCTGCTGCTGAAGGCTACTAAAGTGGAAGAAACTTCTAGGAACTGGACTAATAAGAACAGACCAACTCCACTTCATCGCTAAAGCCCAAACCTTACCCTAACAAGCTTCTCTGTCTGGGCCTGCAGTGCAGAACAGTTTGCAGGCTCAATACCTAAAACTCTAATCAGAAAAGTACACAGTACACTAGTGGTAAACCTTAATTTAGACAACGTTCATTCAGCACTAAATAATACGGAAAATTTAAGAGTCAGTTTTGCAGAATATGAACACTTAACACTACATTACATTGGTTGATACTAGACATTGCTTGAGTTGGACTATATTCAGACTTACTTCCCCTTCCTCTCCTCCTCCCAGATCTGGGAAATATATAGTCTAAATTGTGTTGCACAAGTTGAAAATGGTTTTACAACTGATGAGTATGAAAAAAATGGACTGTAAGAAGCTAATGTTAAAAAAAATGTAATTATTGTAGATAATTTTATTATCTATAGTCCTACTCTGTCCAGATGGGCATGTGTAATCACAGGAAAACCTACTGATTTAAATGAGGATACTCCTTTGAAGAGCTCATTGTATGACAGAGGCTTATGAGCCACATAATCTATTATACCTATTAGTTTCAATTAATTTTATTGTAGCTATAAGGCTTCTGATCTAGAACCACATACTTAAGAAACCCAAAAAACTGTAATACAAAACATCACTTACTCTGTTTTTCTTCGTTGCTTGTCCTCAAATATATCATTAAGATTTATTGCCACCTGTCCCAAAAATTTATCCAGGCCCACCAGCGACCTGTGCATGACAATCAGGTAAAGAATGTATTTCTCTGGATTCCCCTGCATCAGTAATCCAGGGAGCTCAAATGATGCCTCTTCTTTCCAGACTGGTTCTAAGGTCTTCTCAGCCACCGAGGTGGAGTATTTTTCCTTGCCCAGTTGTATGATAGTGTAGGTATCATTGGTGCCATTTTTGCCTTTTGGCTTCAGATCTTTGGCTTGAAGAACTGTAACCTGTACGTGGGTTGGGAACCACGTCTGGGCTTGCTCTGCCAACATCATCTTTGAAGAGTTCAGTAGTTGTAGCAACACAATAAAGTTTCTAAATCTTCTAGTTACTGCATAAGTGCACTTAAAGTAGGGATATCTATGAAAGTCCCAGCGTTATTTCTCTCAGTACTGAGTTTGGTTGTTTTTGTTTTTTTGAGACACACTAACCATTGCTTCGATTTTCCCTCCAAAAAAGTAACACCTTCAGTTCTATTACTAATTTTAAAAATAGAAAAAAATCACTCATATATTCTTTTTCTTCCACAACAATTAATGAACTCTTCTTTACTCAGTTTTCCCCCCTCACATCATTAAAAAAAAACACCCCCCAACTCCCAACTCCTGTAAAGACAACCCTGAACTTTAAAATTTCCCAAACACTCCCAACTCCTGTAAAGACAACCCTGAACTTTAAAATTTCCCATTCCCTGCAAGGCCTTCTAATGTACTGTTCCTACCTCATTGCAAGAAGAAAGGGGCCCAGGGTGAGATGAATAAAGGAATGAGGTTTCAAGGTTTGTAACCAACTGTAGCCTGTCTCTCTTCTGCTTCTCAAACTCCCTCCAGGGCTAAATACTCCCTGGTCCCTCCCTTACCGCACATCATCCCAGAAGCCCCAACATACCCTCCCATATAGATCAGCCCTGCATGTTCAGTCCTAGGTCCCCTTCATAGCACTCTCCTCTCCCACCATGTTCCGCTGGGTGCTGGGTAGCCCAGGATCACCTTGCTTAGTCCTCCCCTCAAAACTGCAAAGCTCTGGGGTCCCCCTTTGTACCACCTCTCCGTGGATCTAGAAAATCCCTAGGGGTCTCCTCTTACTCCCTCCCCCAGATCTGGGAACCCCCTAGCATACTCTTACCCCCCCAAATCTCAGAACTCTTTAGTGTACCATATTACCCCCCAAAATTTGGGAACCCTCTAGTGCACCATCTT